ACCTAGGTCTACCCTGAGCCAAGAGGGCGCTGAAACTCTCCGAAATCACAAAAGAGTTCCCCTACCGTGTCTGTATACTTTGTGACTTTGTTCCCGGTTACCAGGTCTGTATACACTCCCTTTTTAGAAACGGTAGTGTCTTTATTTATAACAGACTTCTAATTATTTCAGGACTCGTTATAAATGGATTCCACCGTATCATAGTGTTTAACTTAACTTTCACAACATGGAAATTGTTGAGGTAATGATTCCATTGCAGCTAAATTATTGTCCTCTGTGTGGTTTTGATGCGACGGGGAAGCATCTGTGGTTCTACTTTTCTTCCTCTCTATTATCATCATCATGTCCCTCTTTTGTCTTGCCTTACTACACAAAATTTGTCTCTCTGGCACCAAATTCAATGTGTCACAATAGAATTGATACTTGACAACAAAAAGATCAGAATCAGAGGTGAGTAAGTAATAATCAAATATGACCGAGGCTTAAAAATAACACAATAACTTTTGGAAACTGTAAGCTTTTGCTTTTATTGCATGCAGGCAACAAAAAAACAATTCATTCCACACCCAAAAAAAAGCATTATGGGTAGTACACATAAAACATGCACTAAGATTAGGTTCAGTTCCTTGACGCTTTCATCTGAGCGTTTTGAAAGTATTCTTTTCCTCCAGATTAATTCGAACTTTTGAACAGCAAGATGTCATGTCTGTTTCTTCACACTGGCATTTATCACCTGGTGAAAAAAAAACAAGATTTAACATAAAGGAAAGTCCTCATGCACTTCTTTCTACCACCAGATCTTTTATTTTTCTGTAAGCAACATAAACTCAGCCCTTGTCTCTTATTCCGACATACCTGGTTGTATATATACATATATATATATGGTCATTTGTTTACTTTTTTTCTAAGGCTGATGGGCAGGTAAAGAACACCATCTTGGTCAAGGATGAAAGACTACAAGGTTTTTCTCAGCATACTATACACTTTGAGTTTGAGAGACTTTGGTACATGTGGTAGAAAGTCAAAGAAAAGCAGATGTATAATCTGTCCCCATCGTTTTATGCAAGAAAAATTCTGAAATTATGCAAACTGAGCCCAAAAAAGTGAAATAATGCTATTCTGTTCATTTTAAAATAGAATGATAAAGGAAAATAATAAGAAATTATGCAAAAAAATGATCAAATTTTGCTAAATTATGCGGGGTGTATAAAACCACAGGGACAGATATAATATACATGCCTTGAGAAAAATTTAACAAACACAACGTGGCACATGAAAACTCCCAGGAAAGCCACAAGCATAACCATCAAGATAGGTTGGTGATAGATCATTTTCCCAAAAGAAAAATATTGCACCTGATGTCGCATAAGGCCGAAAATATTCTAGCTCTGTCCGCCTGGTGTCTGCAAATTGAAAGCGGTTAAAGGATACAAAAGCATTTATACTATACTGCACCTGACCCGCCATTCCGTCGCCTTCGGGGATTGACCTCATTGGATACAATGGCACTGTCTAGGAAATAATGATTAGCATTTCTGTTGCATTTGTGAAAAAGGAGGTACAGTAGACACTGATCAGTTGCAATTTATTTTATTTTATAAACAGACTAAGAAACAAATGTGAAAATCCTCACTTAATAATGACCCTAAATTTTTGTGTGAAAGCATGTCATTGTGGTGTGTCTGTGTGTGGCTGATCGAAGAAAAAAAAATTATTCAAAAAAAAAATTAAAAAATCATAAATACACTGAAAATTGCAAATCCATCGCACCCGCGAGTTTTCGAGTACGCTGAGTTCTAATCTAACTTAAAAATACGATTTGATGCAAATTTTAACATTTAAAATCTTTATTTTTCCTGTCTCGGTAAGAGTGATGACTCATTTCCTGTCTAGAATTGGACGTACTGATGGAGAAGAATGCTGCAAGTGATAATCAAATCCGGCTACCTCCAGTCAACATCTACGAGCCGGACTTGATATAATTGGCCTGTCCATCAACTCTTTGTTTTATTAGTAACCTCGGCACCCATTTTGTCTGTCAATGTGTTGTTTTCAAACCAGGATTAATCAGGAACAACCTAGGCTGAGTGGGATACAGGGTCCATGCAGATATTTTGATACTCAACAAAATAACGTACCCCTGTGGGAATCAAATTCAAATCTTCTTCATGCAACAGCAAAGAGTCTAATCAATACACTGCAGACACCTCTGATGACTTAAAATTTATGGTAAAATGCTCAAAATTTGGTGCAGGAAAACCCAAGGGAATTCACAAGCACAGAAATATCAAGATAACCTGGTGTTACAAAAACCATGGCAACTTAACATCTAAACAAGATGATGGTTGAAAAATAGTCAAAATATCAGAAATGATTTAGGAACATACAGCAAAATTTTTCCAGAGCTGCTATATGCATTCATAAAGTAACATCCTTACCTGTGAGATTTTACTGCGAATGGCATGAATTGTCTCAGTAACAGATTTGTTCAAAGCTGGGGGCACCACAGGGTTTTTAGTACTTTTCTCCAAGTTTTCAGGCCCTTGCAACTGACCTAACTGGAAAGCATTTTGGCGGATTTCATGATCAAGCCCGTCGGTTTTTTTACGTTGAGGCAGTTCAGAAGTATCCGTGGCTTTGCGTTTCACGGCTTGTCTGGGTACAAATTTTGGAGCAGGTCCTTGGGGCTTATATTTTTTAACTATCACAGTAGTACTGTCCAATTTTCCTTTGGCAATCTTCACCCCTGTACTGGATGACATTGATGTTGAAGAGGATATAGGTGCAGAAGGTGGGTCGGCCATCTTGGGAAGTATGGTAGTGTTACCGGTATCAATTTTGGTGTTCAACCTTCCATCAAACCCTGAGGGCAGAGTTGCATGAGCTGATGGCACTCGTGAAAATTCGTATGTTTTTCTGCCACGCACACTGTGAGGAATGAACGATGATGCTTGAGGAGGCAGTGGCAGCTCAAAGGTGGGTTCTGATGCCAAGACTTGCCCTCTTTGAGAATGAGCGGTGATAGGAGCAGAGAAATGTGTATGAGTCGGTACGGCTGGATTAACATTCCCATGACTTGGGGGAAATGTCTGAGGCAGAGGCACTCTTGATGCATGTGAAGCTAAAGTCAATGGAGTAGATGTTTGGGCAGGTTGATTATGTCTCATATTTCCATTGTCAAGTCCTGAGGTGGTTACATTAGAATCTGCAACAGGTGTGGGGGTCGCTACCTCCCTAGCATTTGTTGATGGCGTGGCCTGTTTCGACATCTTTTGCTCTGCTTCTGTAGGTGAAATTGAAATGAAAAGCATCAGACAATGTACATTATATACAGTAAATGTCTATTAATGTTAGAAAGGCTGATCAAAAGGGAAAAAAAAGGAGAGAGAGTGGAACACTTGTATAATCTTTACAATGCATTTGTTGTAATATCTACAATTCATTTTGATAAGAATGCAAACCATCAGACTAAATGACAAGATACTTGTTTTTTAAAAAGACGTATACATACAGAAGAAAAGCACTGGACATCCCATATGTTGTGAAGGTGTCATAATAAGATTAGGTACCAGAAACTAAATTTTAAAAGAAGCTATATATGCCAAAATTATCTGTTCCATATATATATGGAAGGCCTTTGTCTCCTGAGAATTGTGGTACCATTCTTTTACCTCTCAGGTAATTTTAAAGAAATGGCAGCTGTTTTAATATAATCAAATATTACTAAATTCAGGCCAGGGGAGGGTTACATGCTTTTTGAGTTTCAAGGAAGGATTGCAAAATGGTTCCAAGCCAATAATTTTATTTTAATAGAAAATATATGATCTGCCCATTGGTAGCTTTTTAAGCTGGAAGTTTACATATTTATATTTCATGTTAAAAACGATCTTTGAAATTTTTGTACATTATTTCCAAAGGCTTCCTATTTAAAAGCAAAAGGCCAAAAATATACCACGAAAAACCCTGTTCAAAGCTCTGTAGCTCTCTGCCAGTGAAAAGACGGTATTTAGCCATTCATCTTTCGGCGAAGCTTTCGAAAGCATGGGTGTCAATTTTTGAAGTGATCGACTTTGCATTCCGACTGAATGGCGATTCTCCAACTCCAAATATAATACAGTCCATGCCGGCTTTAAGCACGGTCGTTGGGAGAAAGCTTAAGCGTGCTTGAGTACGAAGTAGATATAATCCTGAGATTTTCATGTAGAAAATTTCCCGTGCTATTTCCCTTTGTTTGTAAGTAGGCCTATTGCGGTCCCGCAAAAGTGTGCACTGTTATTTAGACACCCGCAATGGTAGTTTTTGTTCGCTTGTTTGTTTTTGTTTTGTGGTTGAATGGGAAATGAAAATTTAATTTAGACGGCCAGTCACGATACAGCACGCTAGGCCTACACACTGCCTGTGCGTACCACTGCCAACTGTGCCACTTATACCACCGCCTTCATCCCACCTCGCATGAGATACACAATCAGGATGAATGGATAGCAAGGGTCAAAAGTGAAATAACAGCCAGCCTCTCTTTCTCGTCTCCCCGACTCTCTTTGTATTTTTTTTTTGGTCATGTGTAGCTTTGCCCTAGGCCTAGGCTAGATCCTATGTCTGCGCGCGCGGCTGTGTGCATCTGCCTTCCTCTCCGCCTGTGTCAGTGTGTGTGTCCAGCACTTGACAGTAAAGTGCATGCCATCTGTTAAACAATAAAAATCTCACCATGTTGCCTGATTTTATAAGCAACAACTCTGCGTCGATCTAGAAGCTTTTCTCTTGTCTCCGAGACAGTTTCATATTCTGGGGCATAGCACACATGAAGTGCACCACCAAAAAAGGAATAGTCATCTAGTTTCCTCTTGGCAAATCTGCAATTTGTAAAAGAAAGAAAAAATCTTTAACAACCTAAGAATAAAACTATTATATTGGTTTGTATTAATTAACCTCTCCGCTGCCACATTACTTAACTAAATAGGGCTGGAGTTATTTTACAATAACTACTAAAAAGCTAATTTCTCATTTACTGAGCAGCCTAGAAGTGGCTGACTTTAAACATGAACACAACACATGTATCACACATACACACAAACACACACACACACACACACACACACACACACACACACACACACACACACACACACACACACACACACACACACATACACAATCATCTCTTTATGATTCAGAACAATAGAACAGCATATACATGCCTCTAAACTCCAAAGCAAAAAGAGAAGAAAAAACATGACCATATGAAATACTGTATAATCCAGTTAAAGGGACACTTCTTATTTTGATACTTGTGTTTTGTAATAAACAAGTCATAAGTTAAAAAGCTGGTCATAACCATGGGTGGGGTTGTAAAAACGAGGTCAACACAGTGAAAAAAAGGGATGCTGTGCATGAACAAATATATTAGAAGCTAACATACGTTAGAGACAAACAGAATATAGTGTTCGTACTAATCAAGAGACTAACTGTGCACCATCCATCCCAACTCATCTTCCTACTAATTCTACAAAAGTGGCAACCTTTATTTCTTATCACTTTTCATGTTACCTGTTATAAAGCTAAGAAACCATACAGGAAAATAATGGGCTCTGCATTTTGCTGCTGACTCTGTTCTGCTACCAAGCTGTCATCAAATACAAGTATCCACTAGCTCTACACACACTCTATATATGCTCTAACCAAAATAACATTTTTCGGAATACTACAGTACAATACTGTCTTTATTTTTTTTCGAGGTTTTTCTTTTCAAGGAGATACTGCAAAGCATATCAGCCTTTATTAACTACTTACCTTGCGGACTGAATCTTTTTATATTTGAATAAGTAAACTTCTGTGTACTTGTCTTCACAGGGGTATTCGTCTAAGGCATGGTGCTCTTCCACTGCACCAAATTTGGAACACAAATCCACTAAATTTTTAGTGGCTCCAACACAGGGGACACCTTGGATGAGGATGTATCGGGACTCATTGTTCACAGTGTAAACCTGCCACAAAAATTGAAAGAAAGAAACGACTCTAAATAAATCTTTTTATTTAAAAAGACAACCGAAGTGCATATGACTTTTTAAAAATCATGGTTTTTGTTTTCTGATAGTGCTTGAAAAGGATTGATTTGGGATAATCTAGTGTATGGAAAAGCCAGAAACTTTTCTCTAAGAAGTTTTGAGGGCCATAAAATGCATTTCATTACTTTTCCACTTACTCATTTTATGTGCAAACTCAAATTTTAAGGCCTCATTTCTCCTTGGGGATCATTCTTATGAATAGGTTTTGCTTTTACGGATATGTCTGCCTGAAAATAGTTTTTAGTAGACCTCATCCTTGGTAGGGAGGCTGTTTGGTTTTTTTTATTGTTCTTTTTATAATGCAGGTGTTTTAATCCCTCATCGACACAAGTTAGACCAATTAAAGGCAGGCATCAAACTTGTAAAGGAACACAATGTCTCAATAGAAAGTCCAAGATACTCAATAAAAATTCTCTCCAGACAGGAACTGAATTAAGGTCTCCCGTGTGCCAGAAAATCCCACTATTTTAGGTTCTTAGGTAGGTTTATATTATTATATTGAATACTACCTTTGCATCAGTTTTGAAGTTTGAAGAATGTGTTCTTTTTTATAAACATGATCTTCTATCCAATTCCAGTGTGCCCTTCATCTGTGCAATGGCTTTATATTATATACAGTTTTGCTCCAGAAAAATTAAGATAGGCTCTTCCCATCCACAAGTGAAGAGATGGGAATTATTTGATGAGTTTGACATGGTACATGACCTTTTTTGATATCTCTTCTGTAAGAAAACTTCAACAACCATGGTAACTAGTAGCTGAGATGAAAGTTTTATGACTGTAATATATAACTCATCTGAAAATCACTGACATATATAATCAAATGCAGTATGATCAGTTAGAGGTAAAAGACCTAGGCTTCTGATCTGTAACAAAGAAAGATACAGAAGGTGCTTTCTTCTACCATCATCCATCAAAATTCTTCCATCTTGACCATCTTGTGATAAAAATATTCATATGACCTTAGAGCATGCATCAGAATAACATTGAGTATGTATCTAGCTTAAGATTATCATTGTTTATATTGCTGTGTGTGTGTGTGTGTGTGTGTGTGTGTGTGTGTGTGTGTGTGTGTGTGTGTGTGTGTGTGTGTGTGTGTGTGTGTGTGTGTGTGTGTGTGTGTGTATACGTGGTGAAACACCAAACCAGTGTGCCAGGATCTGGACAATAAAGATGTGTCTTATCTTATCTTAGACAGGTTATGCACATTTCCACAACTAACACTAACAAAAAACTAGAATTACCTTAACTGCTTTTGCATGTCTACCTTCCCTGTAGGGTTTCCTTGTGGCACAAACTTCTTGCTTTACATGATGGGATGGGACTTCAGGGTCAGATGATGCCATGACATTGCTGTCATCAGTCATAAAATCTGGAAACTAAAAATTACAACATTGTACAAAATCGTCATGTCCATAACACAGCTACAACACTAGGCCCTGGCTATATCAGGACTACTGGGACCAATGTGATGTCCTTGTTATAGCCAAACCCTAAGGTTATAGACGGGGATCATATTTACACACATTGTAACTAATGATTAACAATGTGATCATTTTTCCCCCCATAGAATACCCATTACTAATTTAGCAGTTATTTCTGCTTTCATTTCCACCGATATTATTTGCTCCTCATCCTTTTCTTTCTTTTTCTAGTACCTTAGTCTCCAGGAGGTTGACTAGACATTAATTGAGATGCACAGGATGTAACCTAATGAAAGTAATTATTGAATTAATTTAGCGCACATCATGTTCTAGAGCAGGCTCTATGGGCTTTACAACTATTCAAAATTTTAAAATTTAAAGTTATCACAGAAGGGAAAAGGAACACACATTATACGTCTGCAGTAAATCAAGCACCAAGTGCTTACTTTTAATTCAATCATGTTCTTGTTACAGTACAGGTCTCGCCACCTCACAAGGACACAATTTAAGATGTGGTGCCAGACAGAGGTCATGCTAAGACACTCAAGTCATTGATAGGAAAATCTGAATTAACACCACATTGCATCCAGCTTTCCCCCTCCCTTCCTCCCCTATATACATGGCATAATACATTATAACTAACTAACGCCTCTTGTGGGTCATGTAGGTACAATATGCCATGGATGCTGTTTTGCTTAATTTGCTTTTTATCTTTTTTTTTTAAAGTAGAGGTTTTACAGCTCTCGCAACTGCATAAGGTCATATGAGCGCCAGGAGATTAGAGGTGTTACAAGAGAGTAACAAACATAAAAAAGAAGAAGGAGAGATAAGGACGATAGATGTTTGATAGGAAAGAAGAAGCAAACCACACCAGAGCACCCACCAACCACCCATGCTTTTTATCTAGTCCATTTGAGTGGAATTATGTTGAATTGAAATAAGGTGTTCGTCAAAATAATGAAATCAAAGAAACTGAAATTTTTTCTGACCATTTGACAATTTATATTGAATTTTTTTGGGGGGGATTCCAAACCTGTTATGTCCACTTAAAAACACATATATATCCGGATATTACTGAAAACATTGAATAAAGGCACAAAAATATAAATTCACAGTTTCCAAGGACGCTACAGAGCTTGAAGTTTCCAAACTTTGCAGCCATTTTATTGTTAATTTTACCTCTGAAACCAGGTGATTCTATCTCTCTCAATCATAAATTTATATCAACTTCTATTCAAGATAGATGGATATACATCAAAAGCAGGCAAATGAATAAGCTTTAAGATGGTATCAATAACTTTAACTCTATACCCAAAAATTGAAAAGCGCCTGATTCCAAAGCGTCATGACACATCTGTTTTCGGATTTCATCAATGTTATAGCCAAGCATGCCTATTCCGAATGCCGGCTATAAATAAACTTTTATACAATACATTACTAGAGATCGGGCTTTCGGATTTATTATAAGCCTGCTATAGCCGAACAACTGAGCCGGACTGAGTGGGATGCAGCATCCCAGCAGAAAGATAGAAATTAAAAATACTTGATAAAATACATACTTTAGATTCTAACTCACACATATTTGCGTGCAACAGTGAGGAGTTGGGCCAACACGGCAGAGACATGGGTTGAAATAAAACTTCAGTGCAAAAGTAAAACCAAAGAAAATGAGGGAAAGGTTGTGAGTTGTTTTTTATAAATTTCATTTTGGTCTAGTCAGGAGCATAGAAATTTAGAGCTTTCAGCGTCATTCACAAAGACATGAACACAAATACAGTAGTCTCTGCCTCAGATCCCGGTCCTTGGGAGCAAGGAAAATGCAGGATTTTAGGCGAACGGGATCTTATCCGACACACCAAGTAAAGAATCTTTAGTGACCCATGTTAAGGCCCACAACTGGTAAAATGGTCTCCCTTCACTCTGAAATGGTCTGACGTGACCCCTGGGTGGGTGCATGAGGCGTACAATTTTCACTTATTATTCTATCGTAAGTCTCAAGTTCTACGCTTATCCAGTTGCCCCCTCCCTTTTACCTGTCCAAAATGTATAGCTTTTCATTTCTGACTGAGTTCCCCCTGCCTTTGTAGTTACGCACCATTACGTTGTCGTCACACCTGTTAAAATTCAGTCTCTCTCGCAAATTGGGGAGTAGAGACATTAAGGCTACTATGATCAAGGAAGTGTTCACAGTTCGATGTAATCCCGTCATGAGAGAACTTGTAGACCCTACCCAACCAGCGTATTATGTAAGTTTAGGTGGGGAACTCAGATGCGAGTGTGATGTTTGGGGAAAACAAACGCGTCAGTCAGTTCACACCTACGTGTGATCCTGTCTTGGGCAAACATTATACCGCTTTATAGAGTTTTACAACACTCATCTGATCACTTTCATGAGAGTGATTGATCTTTGATGCCATGGGTAGTTCAATGATCTCAACTTTTCCCCCTTGGTTGATCAGCTGTGCCCACTCACATTTTTGTTCCATAAATTATTATCTGAAACTCAGGATCTTAGCCGAATGTAGACTTTCAAAGTGAATCAGAGCAGGATCTTAGAGGTAACTTTTATACAATCGAACCTGTGTAAGACGGCCACCCACTGTCCAAGAGAAAAGTGGCTGTAAAAGACAGGCGGCCATCTTAGGCAGGACTGACCAAGATGAAAAAAACCCAAACCATTCCTTTCTGAGGTCCCAACCGAAGGTATCTACATTGCTGTTGTTTTCATTGGTTTGTCTTTTGTTTGCTTTTAGATATTGTTGCTGCTTTTGTGCAAGGGTGACAATAAAACGAAACACATGGGTCGCCACCACTCTGATAACGAGCGACGCTTCTGTTGCAAGTTCATGTTGATGTCCTTTGTTGCTTTGTTACAGACTGGGTAAACAGTGACGACTCATCTCACTGATGATTTATGACTGTGACTATGAGTTCTGGGCGGAGCTTATGGGTTATGAAGGATCACACGCTTACCTCACCATCAGCAGAAAATTTGTTACTATTGGTCAACTGTGGGAGGGGCCAACACCACATGATCGTAGAACGGACTACTTAACAACGACAGGTGATTGGATTATGAAGGCTTGCCCACAATGCCAGGGGCCAATGCATAATTTATGACAAAAGATAATGGAGTCACTAAGGTGGCCGTCTAAGACAGGTGTTATTATTCGGTGTGAAACTGATTGTGTGTTAAAATATGGTGGCAGCAGCCGCATTGGACAGGTGCCCGTTTTACACAGAGTTAAATTATAAAAAGAAGAAACGCAATGGGGGACACAAAAAGTGGCCGTTTGTACATGTGGTCGTCATGGCAGGTTCGACTGGAGTAAAAATTCTGTTTTCTTAAAACAGCGGGATCTTAAGCGAACCGAAATCATAAGCGTTGGGATCTTAGGCGGAGACTACTGTAGTAAATTGGCATTATAAAATTTTTATAATTATCATTATTACGTCATTTAATTGAAATAATAAATTCACACTTTCAATTAAGTTTGAAAGGCTCCTAAGAAATGCTTCTGTGGCAGCTCCACTCTGTAACATATATTCAGAGCAAGTCAGCGAGTAAGGTTTTCAAATTTCACCCCAACTGGTACAGTCCTCTTGACTGAGCTGACTTTGACAAAACTATCACTTTTCGTAGAACATTTGAGATACAGTAGTCTTTATCTAAGACCCCCACCATTTACAATCCTGGTTCATTTCAGATCCTGTAGTTTTAGTTCTAGGAAAACATTTTTACTACACAAAAGTCACCCAAAGATCCCACTCTGAAGGTCTATATTCGGCAAAGATCCCCCCATTTCAGATCATAATTTACGCAACAAAAACCCAGGCAGGCGTAACAGATCAACCAAGAGTGAAAATCTGCAGATAATTGAATTGCCCCTTGCATGATAGATCAGCCATTCTAGTGAATGTGATCACAACTTTTGTAAATCTCTATGAAACGGTACAATGTTTGCCCCACACTGGATCACTGAGGTATCAACTCGCCAATGCACTCGCTTCTGAGCCATCCACCTAAAAGTACATCACACGCTAGGTGGGTAGGGCCTACAAGTTCACATCAAGTGAGATTACATCGAACTGTGAACTCTCCCGTGACCATTACAGCAGTTATCTCTACTCCCATATTTGCGTGACCCGAAATTTAACACAAAAGTGTGTGACAAAAAAGACTGAGCAACTTGGTCAGAGATGGAAAGCTATAAATTTTTGACCGGTAAAGGGAAGGAGTAGCAGGACAAGGGTATCTTGAGACTCACGATAGGATGATTAGTGAAAATGGCATGCCTATGCCACTGTGACTTGACCATCAAGGTTGACCACTCTTTGCTCTCCATGAGTCATAAGCCCATCCAGGGATGACGTCACTCCATTATAAAGTAAAAGGAGACCATTTTACCGGTTGTGAGCCTAGATCATGGTAAGCTTAGATCCCTAAGATCCTGCATTTCCTTTGTTCCCAAGCACTGGAGGAAGAGACTACTGTATTAGCTTAAGGGTTTTAAAATTGGACATCAACAGCAGAGAAGCTTTCTGAAAAACTAGAAAAAATAATAATGATCAATACACCTCAAAGTATTAAGAAGAGCTCAGTCAGAGATAAGGTGGGAAGAAAGCGTTGGCGATGGATTGGACACACTTTCAGGAAGGCAAGCAGCTGCATAACAAGGAAAGTGTTAGATTGGAACCCACAGAGTAAAATTTCAAGGGGAAGACCACGTGGAACCTGGAGAAGAGTCACAGAAATGGATGTACAGAAAAGTAGGAAGACATGGAGTGACCTCAAGTGGCTCGCCCACAATAGGGAAAGGTGGAAAGAGTTTGTTCATGGCCTAATACTGATCCAAGGTGAAAAAGGCAATGATGAATAGGCCTACACCTCAAAACTTGAAATAAAAGTAGACTGAACCCAGTTTTCTCTTCAATGCCAGTCTTGCCTAAATTAGGAATCTACTTCACATTTCTAGTCTGAGTCCAGACAAAATATACCTTGATGACTATGACCTTAACTCTAGTCCTGCGGGGTTAACCGGAAGAGGGCTCTTATCGATCGATGACCCACTTACGTCGCCCGCGAGCTTGTGCCGCAGGGCGCCGGGGTCAGACACCGGTCACGCGAGCGTGCCGCGGCAGGTCAGGGAAACACCTCATCTTTTACAGCAAACTGATACGATCAATGAATAAGTGTTACGATCACACGAATAATCCCATTATCTCCTCGTCGGTTGATCAGAGACGCTGAGATTGGAAGTTACACCAAATCGAATAACTTTTCCAGAGTTTTCCAGATTTCACACCTATTATGAATGAACTTGCGAACAGCTGCTTATCAGCTATTGTTCGAAAGAGGGAAAAAATGGGATAATTTCCGAATATTTTTTTTATTCAGTTGCTCTCAAATTTCTCCCTCTGGTAGGACAATGGTTCAAAAACCACCAAATATGATTATTTACATCAGGAAACAACGTTTGGTGTAAGAATTAGATTGTTTGAAAAGTGAGGAAAGGTGTTTGCATTGAAAGATGAAAGTCCTATTTCCTGAATATCCTTTCGAGTCCCTCAAGTGTCTAACTGGGTCAAAATGCTCATATTTCATTGGATGAACGTCTCAACTGACGCTCTGTTATCTCTACCAACGCCTCGCGTTGCAAAACAATGCAGTAAGTTCCAGATGGACACACAGGCACAAGCAGACTGACGCACACACATTTTAGCACACAGATGCAGACCCCGCCCTAAACGAAATGCGTTGCCCGCGCGGGACGACGACTGATCAGGGACCAGCTGTGGAGCGCCGCGCGGGATTGCGCTTATCGGACAAACATTTATCAGGGACCAGAATCTTAAGGGTTAATACATTGACTCCATGACTTCTTGACTTAACACTTTCCACCCACGCAGCACGCAACACCCCAACGGACAAGGATACAAGTGCGGTACACCCTATATCACACCGACGCTGATCGGCGTCCCGTGGGGAAAAGGGACGGCTTCTTACCGTCGCCGATCAGCATCCCGAGGGGGCAAAGATTTAAGTCTAATAGCTAAAAATGTGTGTTTAGTCAGTCCATTGAGGCAGCAATGGGGATAAACAATGTAACATGAACATAGAAATGAGAAACGCATTAGACTAGTTTTCCATCCAGAACAGTAACTACCTGCTGGAATCTATATCATTCATTTTGAAACTACTGTCACTTAACCAGTGGGCGCGATTACCATTTTTCAGTAGGCCTAATCACTTCACTCTCAGTTTCACTGAAATGTAGTCACTTAGTTTGTTGAATTGTGACTGTCCTGTTAGTTTCACTTTTAATTTTCGTAACAAGGCCAAGAATAACTACATTTTAGATTCTATTAGATCTAGATCTATACATATTATAAGCCTAGATTCCTAGATCTAGATCTAAACTAAGTCGAACCTGCCTTAACGGAAACCTGTATAAAACGGAAACCTGTCTTAACGGAATCTCCCCGCTCCCCCCTTGTTATATTCCTCTTTATTTAACTGTATAAAACGGAAACCTGTCCAACGGGGAAACGGCAAGAAAAATCCGCTCCCTTCCGAGGGTTTCACCTGTCTAAGACGGAAAATGCTTAGCCCGCTCAACCTTGATTTGAAACAAAACTCGCAAGTTTGGTTCTGCCGGCTCTAAACTTAACGCTATGGCTATGGCTATGCCGCTGGCCGAGGAAGAGGAGTGTGCAATTTGGGGGTAGATGTTATCCCATCATGTGACCTCTGAGCGATGCAATGCAGTGTAGTGTGGGTGTGAAATCTCACGACTTCTCGTGAGAGTGCTCAAGTAGCGAGCCACTACGGAAACTTTCCTGGGTAGCCAGAAGCCAGAGGTGTGAAATTAGATTGACCAATGCCTGCCGCCCTGATCGTACGGCCAGCCGAGAAAAGAGCTCCTTGAATCTTTGTTACATATGATGGCAGTGAGGGGTGGCATTGGTGGGTGGGGCTAAGGGTGGAATCAAAGGAGAGGTCAAATAGTGGTCCTAAGAAAGGCAAGCACTAGTGGTAAAAATATTTATAAGTAAGACTGACCCATATCATCTTATCAGACAGGATATAGGATAGCATTTGAGATGAGAGGTGTGAAGTTTTGACGACTGCCTGCCGATCGGACAAGCGATCCTTGATCCCACCGGCTGGGCCTTGGAACCCCCCGATCAAAACTACAGTCGGCGATCTGATCGGAAATTACCTTGCGTGACAGTTTGTTTATCTCTCATTCATTATTAAGCTGTCGATCGTCGTAAATGTGACGGAAGAAAACATTCGTTTCCTTTCTCTTTGTTTCCTTAGCCTAGCCTATTCAACTTTTTAACCTGCATCGTACAATTTGTAAAACCATGATCTATCGAGAAAAAAGTTACAGCACAATTATTTCTTTTCTTCACCTCGCCCGTCGCCCTAGCAGCCAAGCATTTAAGAGCCTGACCAAAGTTCGTGAGTCGTGAATGAAAGTTTTAATGAATGCTATGTTCTCTTTTACGAGACATAGATCTACACATGACAATTACGACAATCAATAGTTCCTAAGCCTCAACCTTTCGCTTTTCTAGTCGAACAATGTTTCTTGTCGGTCTTACAGGCGGAATAGCCAGCGGTAAAAGCACTGTAGCGAAAGAGTTTCAAGCTTTAGGGTGCCCCTGTGTCGACGCCGACTTGATCGCAAGACAAGGTAGGCCTGGACTGTAGATTAATCACCTTGACAATTAGAGTCTACATGTATTTACTGTATTATGTATTGAAATAATCATAGGCCTGCTTATTACTAATGGATTAATAGGCTATAGGCTAATCGGAAACGAAGCGACTATTCGGACTCGAGTCGGAATATGAAAAAATGTTATTCGGACTCTGATTGTTGTCCAGCATGACGTCACTGCCGACTTCCTGTGACTCGTGACTCCGGCTTCCTGTCCTGCCTCACTAGTGACTCGCCTCAGGCTGGGTAGAGACCGGGATCACTTCGGGCTAAATGGCGTTCAATTGTGCACGAGCCGAGTTTTTATCTTATGATGAATTTGAGGCCGGCCTGAAAAGTTAAAGCGCTTCTAATAAATGTTTATTTTATTTGTCAAGAGGTCATCAGAAGCAATTAAAGATGGCTCGTTAGCGTGTGTCGGGGTCGGATGGGCGGCCTGCACACGGTCAGACAGGATAGCAATTGAGATGAGAGGTGTGAAGTTGGCTGTGTGTGTGTGTTTGGGGGGGGGGGGGGGGACACGTACTATCGGTCCGGGCGTTGAATGTCGCATACGCGTCAGTCCCCCCCCCCCCGGCAACTGATCATTATTACAATAATAAGCTAGTCTTGACGTAGATACGAAATGAATTGTGCGCTGGTCTATGGAATCAAAAGTTGCCGTATGCTCGGCTCTACACAGCAACACAACTTTTTCTTGGTAAAACTATCGAGATGACACAGGCATATGTGTATTTGAACGAATCGGTCTTTTTTTTGGGCCACCTCTATTCTCACCCCGGGTGAGAATAGCGCAGGCGAGTCTTTTGGCTATTCTCACCCGGTGGGCGTTCACCGTTATAGCCTAGGCCAACCAGTGAAGCGTTCATCCTGAACCACAGAATTCTACACTGTGATAACAGAATTATAGAATTCTGTGCTGTGAACAAACGTTGTAGATCTATTACTACTGTTAGTGTTAGCCTACAAGCGTGCAATTTTGTCTGTGGGCAGTGGAGAGAGAAAAAGAGAGAGAGAGAGAGGAGTAGCGCGAGAACTTCCGGGCAAAACAAAATGGCGACCCGCGTAGTTCGGCTCGAATCGGATAGTTAAATAGCCGTAGCATCTTTGTAGACAACCAAATTAATTTAGTTTTGTTTTTTAACATCATTTTAAAACTTTGTTTTGGTCAATTTGATCGTCCACACCGATAGACAGTATTCAGAAAGAGACAGAGAGAGAGAGAGAGAGAGAGAGGAGGGGGGGGGGAGTAGATCTTGCGAGAACTTCCGGGCAAAACAAAATGGCGACCCGCATAGTTCCGCTCGATTCGAAAAGTGAAATAGCCATAGCATCTTTGAAGACGACCAAATTAGCTTACTTTTGTGCTATAACGTAATTTTTTCTAGGCTTTTATCAATTTCATCATCCACACCGATAGACAGTATTCCAAAATGAGGAAAAACAGGTCTTGTTTCACACCGGGTGAGAATAGCCTACGCTGGCAAGTCTCACCCTGGGTGAGAGGTAGATCGTATTTTTATTCTCACCCCGGGTGAGAATAGCCACTTCCTTTTTTTTTACACAGCTCATAATATATGCAGGTGCCAGGTGATCTGCTAATCTTCAATTTTACCTTTTTCTACAACGAAGAAAGTGGGAAACATGGGGGGTGGGGGGGGGGGGGGCGTATCAATGAGGCGGCGGGCATCGGATCGGCAGATAAAGTGTGGGGGAAACTAGAAAATGGCGGAAAATTGGAAGCACTGAACGTTAGATCTATAGAACGAAGACACTTCCTTTTTTCCGGACCGTGTCCGAATAACATTTTTTCATATTCGAGTCCGATTATAAAATTTTTTTATTCGGACTCGAGTCCGAATATATGAAAAAATGTTATTCGAATAATGATGGCCAATTGGAAAGTGCCTATTTGCAACGCCGCGTTGCGATTAGCGCCAGTGCTAAATAAAACGCTGCGTTGCGATTAGCGCCAGTGCTAAAAAAAACCGCTGCGTTGCGATTAGCGCCAGTGCTAAATAAAATGCCGTGTCGCAGTGTGTAAAATATTAAGCTTAATCTTCACATCGTCATCGAAAGTTCTGATGGCCGAAGTGACAGCACGTCTGCGCTTGAAGTCAAACCATTATTTTTTTAGCATGGGTTCGATCCCGGTCCTGGACGGTTTTTTTTTCTTTTTGTTTTTTTGTTGTTGTTGTCCTCTTCTCGACTGACCAACAAATTGTTCCCATAATTATATCTTGTTGCTTTGTAGTTTTCTTTATGTAGTGAAGAAGCATGCACATTCTGGTTTTGTCCCCAAGAGGAGCTCTGTACAAAGTAGGCCTTAGTATAGCCTATACTTTTCCTTTTACCAATTTAAGCCTGGTTAAAGTTCAGTAGTGGCTTTCCTTGGTCTGTGAGTCTAATTTTTTTTTTTTTAATTGTAAGCTCAGGGGAAGGAAAAAGAAAAACCTTTCGGGACCGGGATTCGATGCCGCGCTTGGAAGCACTGAACATTAGACTTGGAGAACGTAGACAGTAGACAGCTTGTATACCACGTTCTCTAGGCCTAACTTAAAGTTCGAGTTGCACCGTCTTGTTATTGTTATCCAAGCATCTTTCGACTTAAACTTGCTCAAACTCTAACTGAGATGATTATGATTGAGAGATGAACAAGACATCTACTTTTGTGCAAACAATGTCAGAAATTGTTAGATCTAATCTAGATCTAGATTTTTCTAGATCTAGAATCTAGATCTACCCAATATTAATCGGAATAAGACAACGTCTTAATAAAAGGAGTCAAATCCTAGGAAGTTTATTAAAAAACTGAGAAAGCTTCCACAATTCAGGCAGAACTACAATATTATCATGTAGAAATGATGGCTACTACATGTAGATTTAGATCTAGATTCTAGATCTAGATCTTGATCTAGTACTGGCGTTTCAAATAATAGCACGGGAGCTATTCAGAATGTGGCGTTGCAAATAGCACGGGAGCTATTCAGAATGCGGCGTTGCAAATAGCACGGGAGCTATTCAGAATGCGGCGTTGCAGTTTAGAAGGATTGTTTGTTCTAAAAATTGAATGAAGTTCTTTCGGTGCTTTTTCGGTAGTTCCTTCCCCCCCCCCCCCCCCCCCTTATCTGAGTATCTAGATATTAGATCTAGATATCTAGATCTAGATCTATACGTTTGATGCGTGGCGAGCTAAGATATCAAACCTAACATCTGCAAAATATTAAATTATGGTAAAATCAGGGGGGCAGACCCCCCACCTTATTTTTATTAGGTCAGGGAAACCCCCCTACTCTTGGGGCCAAAACCCGTGAATAACAATTGCGGGGTGGGAACTACCGAAAAAGCGCCATTCTTTCCATCCTTTCTTTTGTGACTTGTCAAAGTTTGAGCACTTTTTGGGAAGACTAGATTTAGATTCTCTGTCTCTTGATCTAGTTCCCACCCCCCAATTATTATTCGTCTATTTTCCTGTGTCAGGAATATAATCGAGTTAAAATTTAACTAAGATCGAATATTTGAAGAGATTTCAGACGTAAATCTCCTTTTATACTAGATCTAGAATCTAGATCTATACATGAACAAAAATTACTTGATAAATGCTTCTTTGTAACAGTAAATGGCTACAGTTTGGACGACAGTCAATTTACCAGACGCACTTCTTGATTGCAGTTAACAGGTACTAAGCCTATGTGTACTGTTTAATTACAGTGGAAACCATATATAACAGGCCCGGTAATAACAGGGATCCGGTAATAGCAGGGATTTTTTTAATCCCCGTTTTTTTCCTACTCTTTGTCTCTATTAAAAGTTATCGGCAATAACATGTTAACAGGGCCTCATTGGAGCCCAACCGGTTATAGCAGGGACAAAGGCCCGTTAACAATGTGGAGAGAGAGAGAGAGAGAGAGAGAGAGAGAGAGAGAGAGAGAGAGAGAGAGAGAGAGAGGGAGGGAGGGAGAGAGAGAGGGAGAGAGAGAGGGAGAGAGAGAGACAGAGAGAGAGAGAAAGAGTAACGCATTGATGGAGCAAGCCATGTCACTTCAAGCACACGCAGCGTGTGAAGCGAGAGAGGGCTGCAGTGTGTGCTGCAGACCTCGATCTAGCCCGAAACCTAGCAACACGCACGCGTAATGTGTCACCAACGATGCCAAGTGCAAGAGAAAATGCCTTTCAATTTAACCAAAAATACGAAATAATCCAGGCTGTTGACAAAAAGCAAACTCGACTGGCAGAGATTTGCCGTCAGTTCGACTTTCCAAAAGGGCCGATTCACACCATTATCAAGGATAGAGAGAAAATAGTGGCAGCATACTCCAATGGACAGTTTGCTCTGGACTGAAAGAAGATGAGACTACCTGATGTAGATGCTGTGGACCAAGCTCTTCTGATGTGGTTTAAGGAGGCAAGGAGTAAATTGGTGCCAAAACCTCTGTTCGTGGGTACTTGTGGCAAGGAAAACTACCCATGAATAAGTACAGCTGGATTAGTCCACAAATGATTACTTTCCTTGCATTTCTGATTTAACAGGGATCGAATATAACAGGACATTTTTCTCTACTCCCACCATCCCTGTTATATCAGGTTTCCACTGTATGTAATTTTGACAAATTGATTAGATTCTACCTAGATCTACTACTCGATTACTAAATCGAACTCGATTTTGCGAATTTCGAATTATAGGCCAAAATAAGAGGGGTGGGAACTACTGCAAAAGAGCCTATGTTTGTTTCTTAATCTGGTTCTTTCTTTTTTTACTTATTACAACATGATTTAAATATGATAAATTATTAAGAAATAATTTGCTAATGCAGTAGCAAGGAAGTGATTTGTATTAACTCTGACTTTGAAGTCAAAGATTAAAATAAAAAGGGTGTTCTCTAAAATTTTTGTTAGGCTGCATTTTCCCTTGAAAGTTCACAAACTTCTTTGAGCTGGCTGACCTGCCAATATCAATTTAAAATTTAATTTTATGTTATAAGCCCCCAGGCCAGGAACATTCATTTTGAATATATAATTTCTAGCTAGCCTAGTTGTTACTATTACGCACGTTTCGCCTCCGTTTACATGTGTGTCTCTATTGTTGGGCTTCTAAATTAAATCTATCGAAAGCACAGCTGCAATGGATGGAGCTGATATAATGATTCTAATGAAGAAATGAGGGTTATACTTATTCTTGGCTGTAATTGCGACACTTCTTCACAGGCGATTGTTATCCTTTGATTTGAATCTAAATTACAATAACAGGACATCACAAGCTTGCATCATGTATTGTCAATACTTATTTATAAAAATCTAGGTGGAATGGTAGATTCTAGATGTGTACCTTCCAGTGCGAGGGAAAATCAATCCATGTTTGGGCCAGTTGAAGATTGAAGAAAGGGACATTGTGTGTATGAACTCAGACAGTCAAGTGGCCATAATTAATGAATCGTGCTGCAAGGTTAATGACCGGCAATAAATTTGCAGCAGTAGAAGAAGACATGGACAACTTCATGGAAGTGATTGCCACTTTTTTTCTTGATTGCAGAGAAAGACTTCCCTTTTGAATAACTATAATAACAGTAGCAGCGTTTTAGTTCTAGCAGATATGAGATTACTAGGCAAAGAGATGGAATAATTTGCACTGATGGCTGGATAGTAAGAGATATCAAATCATAATTGGTGTTAACTGCTCAGATCTCACGGCCAGGTTGTAAAAGAGCATACAAGGGGCTTTGACAGCAGGACTATTGGTTTCAGTGTTCGAGCAGTTAGGCTTACAGGTTTGTAACCTTTAGTGGGTTCAGACCCTGTTAAACTGGCCCAGTTTGGTGTCATTGGGAAAGGCACTCTTTACTCGAATTTTCCTCACTTCACCCAAGTGGGATTTATATAATTTACAAGAAAAACCCCCAGCTTCAAGCCTTTTGGTAATTTGTTCTGTGAAAGCATTTGTCAGAATTGCCATAAAAGTCTAGTGGAAATGACATGGACTTTTTTAGATGTATATATAATATCTTTAGTCCTAATTTGAGTTTCATCCTTTATTTTCGTTTTCTCTTTTTACCTTCCGCAATGAGATCTTAAAAATGGAAAAACACACAGCTCTGTTCTACCTTTTATTTTTCTGACTATTGTTGAAAATTGCATTTTTTAAGTTCCAATGAAGTTAAGCAATGAAAATCTTTGCTTTGTCCATATATGCATCTTTTTTTGTGTGTGTTACAGTTGTTGAACCGGGAGAACCAGCTTATGAAAAAATAAAAGGAACATTTGGTCCTACTGTTTTTCATGAAAATGGACTGCTCAACCGAGAAAAACTCGGCCAAATCATATTCCATGATGCTTCAAAGAGGCAGCAGCTCAATGCTATTGTACATCCAGCAATTAAAAAAAGGATGCTGAGGGAAGTTCTGCAATATCTTTTAAAAGGTATGTTTAGTATAAACTGAATTGAGTAAAACGGGTTCTGCCAGCATGGCAAAGGGGAAAAACTATTTGGCCAATTCATAATTTTATGCTCAGTGAAAATAATGTTGAGCTTATGAAAAGAATTATAATGGCATCTGCTTAAGGCTACAATTGAGTCATGGCATTCCCAACTCTACGCTATCAAAAGTCAATTGTGTGATCAACCCCTCTGAACATCTATCAGTCCCGCAGATTTTCGTTTAATGAAAAGATGGAGGGCCTATATTTAACCTTTAGGCAGCCTTTGTTTGTAAAGAAAGACAGAGTGGATGATGAAGAAGATTGAATTGCAAAGTTCATTTTATGACTTAAGAAAATGTCAGTTTTATTTAGCGTACGTGTAGTCTATAAGCTGAAAAGAACTAACTCATACCATTTGAACAGGGAAACAAAATTATGGTACCTTTTCATACACTAGAATTTAGTAATTCAGCTTGAGATGAAAAGATATGTACTGATGAAGTTATTTTGCCAGTTGACGGGCTTGGATGGACAAGCCTTGAATTAAGAATTACAGTCGAGGTAGAAATATTATAATGTAAACAAAGATTGTTCACTCTTTATCAAATGCTTCCTTACTACAGTATTGTGGCCTTTTTTATCAACAAAGAGAAGTACGTAGCAATTTTCCTGTGTGCTTGGATCATCACATGTATGGTGTGGCATTCAAAACTGAAGTCTGAACAGTAAATTCTCTGTTCTCAAACAAATGGCTATAATTAATCAGACTCAGGGTGTTTTGGTTGTTGAGTAAACGTCGTGCTTAGTGAGGGGACTGCCAAATGAAAAGGACCTTTAGACTATGGCTTAAATTATTGGTTTTCAATCTCGTATTCAGTGTATACAGTCTTGGCTTATTTCAGGGATGCCAAATGTCAGGTTTTTCCTTTTTTTCCCTTTTTTTCCCCATCCGTTTAGGAAAGGGGAGAGGTAAGAGAGAATATATTTTTGTTTGCTGATTTAAAAGCTTTACAAGATTCGGTTTAAGTTTAGGTGAGATGTGATGCTCCGCCCATTTTCAGTTGGTTTTTTTCTCCAAAAATCATTTGGCATCCCTGTTATTTGGATATTTCTGGTCATGAACATTTGCATAACATGACTCTGAAATGAAGTGATAAATATTAAGCCTCTTCAGGTCTAGCCATATCTTCATGGTCGTTTTTTGGGGGGGGGGGGGGGGGTTTGGTTCTTTTCCTTTCTCTTTGAGCAAAAGGCCATTTTCTCAAAATATGCGTTTTTACTTTTTGAAATGACTGAACAGTTTGTAATTTGACTCATGCCTTTTGAAAATAAAAAGTCAAATTATATGGTGGTGTTTTCTGATGCTAATATTTTTTTGGAGAAAACGTGTTTCATGTCTACGTTTTGCGAGTTTTTTTGAGTTTTTGGTAAGTGTTATACGGGCCTCGCAACTTCATAAGGTCATATGAGCACGCGGGACACATTGAATTAAACATTTTCAGTTGGTTGGAAATTTTCAGTTTTGCACGGTGGGCGGTCGAAACCTAATCTTAATATTGATTTTGGACCACCAAGGGATCTTCAACGTGCCCAACTTGCTCACGGGACCTCTGAGATTTTTTTGCAATATCTGAAAAGGCTAGGTGTAGATCTTACCTACAATAAGGTCAAGGGTGTGGCTGAAAGACAGCAGTAAGAAGGAGCTAAGGAGTAGCAGTAGAAAGGCTGCAGAAAGAGTCAGGAGCCTGTAGGAGAGGGCAAAAGAGATGAGGGGGGGGGGGGGGCAGAAAGTGGAGGCAAAAGCAGACTACAGAACATTGTTAAAGAGCAGGAAAGGATGTGAAAGGAAAACATAGAAAGAAAGTTTTGTGTCGCTATCCGGATTCAAACCCGCGACTTATTGAATGAGAGGCGAACACCTTAACCTCTTGAGCACGAGAGCCCCCTGGAGAACTGTGTTTTACATGCTATTTGTATTTCGAATCTGTGTATTTGAGAAGGAAAAAAAAGTAGGCCTACTTTGCTTGTCTCAAAACAACCCTTTTAAAGATAAGGCATTATTCCACTTTTGACTTTGCTAAGGTTCAATAACAGTTGAACAATAACATTTGGAAAAGATAACCTTTAGATTTGGGTTATTTTAAAAATGATATTTTAACTGTTGTCAGCTGTATTATATTTTCTTTTTCCACTTTTGCTAAAATAACTTTTTCTTTTGTTTTTAGGATATCAATTCGTCATATGTGACATTCCTCTCCTGTTTGAGACAAAGCAGATGCTCCCTTTTGTCTCATACACTGTTGTAGTTTACTGGTAAGTATCCCAAAGTAAACTGAAACAGCCGTATTGTTTGGGGATCTGTTATTATTCTTCAGTTTTCCCACAAACAAAAAAAATGCTAATTGCTTTAGTTGATATATATCCTTTGCTTAATGCATGCACTGTGGGCTCTGCAATTATTATTACCTCAGCAGACCTTAGAACATTCAAAAACGTTCTTGGCTTCTAAGAAAACAAGTAGTGCAAGCTGCCATTTTACAGGCGCTAAAACACTAACATATTGACAACATCTTTAGCTAATGCTGGGTACCTATTCACACCTGGAATAAATGAGAAAAATTTGTGTAAAATGCCTTTCCTAAGAACACAATGTTGAGTCGAGTAGAGCTTTGAACCCCTTAACCTGCAACCTCACAGTTACAAGTCCAGTAGCCTAACCCCTAAACTACAAGGTGCACTCTAGGACAAGAAATGAATGTCTACTTGTAATCAGTTTTTGAATTCGTATATTTTGCTTTGTTCACATTTTTACATCTAAGTTGGTGAATCACTTATAAATATGAAGTATTTCTTGCAATGGTTTGAGTCATATCTTAAAGATCAAACACAAGCAGTTGTGGTTGGAAGCACATATGTTCAGGTAATGTTTTGCTCAAATTTGATGCTCCTCAGGGGTTTGTTCTTGGACCTGTCTTATTTACTGTAAATTACTGTGTATACCCAGCTGATTGCTGATATTTTAAGACAATATGGCATGACTTACCATCTTTATGCCGATTATCACTCAGATTTGTGTCTAGTGATTTAAATCAAGTATCACTTTTAGTCGACTCCACTGAACAATGTATTCAGGAATAAAAAATATGAATGGCCAGTAATAAATTGAAACTGAATGATGACAAGATGGAAATGATATTAAGTAGAAATACAAAAGCCATTAGAAATCTCCTTGAACTACAAATTAACCTCAGTAATCATACCTTTCGTTCAAAAAGAAGTCTTAAAAATCTAAGGGTTCAGTTGGATTATGATGTGTCTATGTCTTCTTAAATCATCCATCTCAGCAAAAGTATCTATTTTCAGCTTTTTAAAATTTGCAGTGTACGAAATTATTTAACTGAAGCAGCAGCCAGGACATTATTAACAACACTGATTTTATCCAAATTAGATTACTGTATTTGTTATGCTATTTTATCTGGTTTGACGATGGAAAAACTGTCAAAGTTACAAGTCTCCAGAAACCAAGCAGCAAAATTGATAATGAAACCTAAAAAAACAGCTCGCGTAACACCAATTCTGAAAGACTACACTGGTCGACAGTAAAAAGAAAGGATCAAATTAAATACCAAACTGCCGTTTTCTGTTTTAAATGTCTAAATAATAATGCGCCTATTTATCTAAAACAATTCCTGGAATTATATTATTATTTTATGTCATTCAACCAGAACCCTTAGATCAACCACTGACAATCTGATTTTTAGAACCTCAAAGCAAAATTATAAAACATACGGCGAGCGTTCCTTTTTCTTCTTTGGTCCCCTTGTATGGGACAAACTCCTATATAAAATATGGATTGCCCCTACTATTCATATTTTTTTTAAAAACCAGTCGAAGCATTGCTTAGTGGGTGGTTGGCGGGAGCTCTGGTGTGGTTTGCTCCTTCTTTCCTGTAAAAATTCTATCGTCTCTATCTTCCCTCCATCTTTTTTATGTTTGTTACTCTCTTGTAACACCTCTAATCTTCGGCACTTATATGACCTTATTGTGTTGCAAGTGCCGTAAAACTCTTACTAAAACAAACAAAATAAAACAAGAAGCATTGCTTATCCACAAATGCATAGGCCTACCTGTCATAAGGATGAAATGTTATACATGCATGTGTACGCCCTACCTTGAGACTGAAGAAATAGCGTGCGAGAAAGAGAGAGACAGAGAGAAGGGAAATGTTAGTCTGTAGGCCTATCTATATATTATCGAGAACGAATGTTCTATCGAATGTTTTAATCTTTTTGTAACCATTCAAGTTTCAATTTTATTGTGACTGTTAGAGAGTTTTTAATGAAAGCATTGTCAGGCTCATTGCTTGACTATTTTTTTTCATAGAAATTAGTTATATGTATATATATATATCGTCGGCCTTGTGATAAAACCGACTAACCCCAGCGAGGTAAATTTTACAGGAGAAGGAAAAAACTGTTTTATTTCAAAACAAAGGCGTCTAACGATAAATCAATGCTTTAAACACCTATAAAAACACTTTACCGAAAATCTGTAGACCTTTTTTTCCTTAAAAAATTGCTTTTAATGAAACTGTGTGGGTTAGATGGTTATGTCGCTCAAATTTTCCTGGATAAAACCGACCAACCCTCAATTTTGTGGGTTCACCGGTTTTATCAGGAAGCCACTGCTGGCCTTGAGTTTGGTTGAGTGCAGCCAAGCCACACTTGACGGTAATGTATTTGATCACTTGCTTCAATCGTCAAAATCTTTTGTAGAAGAAGAAGAAGAAGAAGAAGAAGAAGGAGGAGGAGGAGGAGGAGGAGGAGGAGGAGGAGGAGGAGGAGGAGGAAGAAGAGGGTGAGAAGGAGGAGGATAGGGAGAAAAAAGGAGGAGGAGGAGTAAGAAGAAGAAGAAGGAAGAGGAGGAGGACTATATTATTGCTACCGACATACTATCAGCTGCTGCCATTTCAGTGCTACGGAGTCAATTCGGGCTAAAACAGCAGTCACAAAGTTGAACCTTTAATAGAAGTAGAAGAAGCAGAATACAGCAATGGGTATATTAATTACATTTAAAGTAGAAGAACAGGAGGTTGGAAGGGTAAGGGAGAACAGCTACAGCAACAACTACAAAAACAACAACTACAACAACAACAAAAACAACAGTAGTAGCAGCAGCAGCAGTAGGCCTTTGGAATTTATGACCGTGTCCGACACGGTACTATTGGCACTGGGTGGCCATTCAAAGGCCTGGAAAAAAGTAATACTAAGAAAGAAATGAAAGCAGAAAGCCACAGAAAAGCTCTGTTACCTCGGCAATGGTTTGGGAGAAGTTGGTTACATAATGATATATCATTATTATACAAAAAGACTTTGTGAGTACCAAAGAATGCGCCAGCTTTCTCCAAGGTGCGTGGCTTGACAACTACTACTTTATTGAGTTTTCTCAACGATAGAAGAGCATGTCTGTCTCACTCTGTGTCCTATGGCTACAACAAGGCAATGCGATAACAGTTACCATTGTTTTGAAAGACTCTACAATAATCGAATTTGGCTTGTTCGCTTTCAAAACTTCTTACTGAGGCAAAATTTCATGGTAATTGTAGTAGCATCGTGGTACGACGGCTTTCAACTCAAGCAGATGTTTATGCTGGTTGGCAGTTATCTTCAATCTGCCTTTGCAGAGAGGTCCAGCAGTAACCGTCGTACACATGGTGTTCAGCTTTCTTGGTCCTTGCAGCGCCTGCCACCCATCATGAAAGTTCAGCTTGTACTGAATTTTAAAGACTGGAGTGTACTTTGATGCCTGCAAGTCAGTGACAGTAGGATCGCCTGCTTTTCTCCCTGGACGGATTGTTTAGTGCTCTCCGACTTTTGCAAAATCTTTGAAAAAGCTGTGGTCCAGGTACATAACTTCATAGGGCCTGGGGATGCGTCTGGCTTTGAGCATGATGTTCACGTAGTCCATTGGGATGTACATCAGTGCGTTTTTTAGCGATCGCTCAATAGTGCCATGGACTGAATCCACTTCCATTTGGGTATGGCCCTTGGGGAGAATTTCTGTTCAACTGTGATGTCAAGCTCTTTGGCCAGCGAGGCCATTGCATTCACCAGGGTGGCATTTCTGTTTTAATAGTTGCGCCAATCACTGCAGATGATAAAGTGGTTGAAGTCAGTCACTTGCAATATCAGTTAGTGAGTCAGACATGATGAAAACTGTTGAAGCCCAGACCAACTTCACTTTCATACCAGACATATCATCTGGCGTCTCTGGTGGCAAGATCCTAAGTCGTAACATTGTGTACAGCCAGTTTTGTTTTATATAAGGTGGAAGTCTTTTGTGATGAGGCCAGAAGGACGCACTGGATCACCATACAAAGGACACACACAGCCTCCCTGTCCTTCTCCTTCTCTGGTCTAGCGGCAGCTTTCTTTATATTCATATTTGAGCTCTGTGTTCTGTTTCTGTGAGGTTTCCAGATTTGAACTTTGTACAAATGTCGCACTGGTCTTTCTTGGTTGAAAGTAAACCCAAATTGTTTTTCTTGAACTTTTGGCAGAACACTTGATAGCTCAATGTGGCTTTCATCCTCTCTGCAAAGTTCTCCATGTATACTTGATGCAGATCTGACGTTTTCTGGATTCTCATCTGTAGACAGGAGGATATCTTCGAAAGTTTGTCAAAAAATTCCTCTTTATGGAACAACTTGTCATCCTTGGCTCTCTCATGGTGGGCGTGATGTGGTCTAGGGGGTGGACCTCTTGTTGTTGTTTTTTTCGGAGAAGACACTTTAAATAAACCTGTGGGTCAGGCCTGTGGTGTTCTTGAAGATTGTTTTACAAACAGGTGTTCTTTGACCATTGACTCTTGTAAGTGGTATTGAAGGCTGTAATTTCTCCTTGGGTTTTCCCTTGCTTTGTAAGATCTCTTTTTGTCTATCATGTTTATCGTGGCATATACGTAGGCTCTCTTTTCTTTCCAAGAGAGTGACCAGTGATGTCATTGCATTTTGTATCAAGCAGTTTACAACTGCAATGGACGTCAAGTTCACATCCTGCTCGCTTCGTGCCTTGACATGGGTAGAGGCATCCCCAGTTCTTTCAACCTATTCCTTTTGTTACCCTTCCGATCGTTTTCATGCCGTGTCCTTTTCACAAAGATCAAAGGTGACATAACTGTTGTATTATCAGCTGATGTGACATTAGCCTGGTCACGTTGATCACTTCCCACTGCGCTGAGGGTAAGAGGTGACGCAGCAAGCGTGGCATCATCTTATTGAATGTTATAGCGTTATGTAAGCTAAGGTTTGATATAAAGATAAAGCATTAGGTTATGACCCTGAGAAAATAATCTACTCAAAACACAAACGAAATGAACTTTCAAGGAAAGTCGAACGATGTTTCAGAAGGTAATGACTGCAATAAACACAGCAAATGAAAAAAAAGAAAAAACACTTTAAAAAACAATGATCGTTGGGGGCAGACGGTGTGCTGGACAGGTCCCACAATTATTTTTTTTTGAGTGAGTTAGTACAGGAGGAAATGCTATCTACTTCGTCCATTCAATTGTGAAAGAAAAATGATTAGGAGAAGAGACAGTAGTCCGAATAGGGGAAAATGCCTTCACAATCGGTGAATTTCGAGTACAAAGACAAAGAAAAACACGCGGACAGAAACATAGTTTCATATAAAACAAAATCCATAAAGATGCATTTCAAATACCGGAATTGTCACGAGATAAACAGTTCTGTGGGAACAGTGGGGGAGTTTTAGTCATTAATAACAGTATCAGCAGCATTAAAACGAAGAAAAAAGAGGAAACAACCAGATCTATATAACTCCTCAATGAAACCAACAAGAAATATTACACACATATTCCTTTTTGGAGAGCTCCCACGGTTATGTGAGCAAATTCTGGACTATTACAGGTCTGAATATGCATGTCAAACGAAGTCCGGAGAGGAGTCGGAGCTGGGGTTAGTCGGTAACGTTGCAAGTGGCCCCTCATTGTTAGCGCGATAAAAACAGCCAACCCTCATTCCATCCCTCGCAGGTGGGATAGTCGGAATTATCGGGCTAAAATCTGATGGGTGCCGGGTGATACGGTTTTATTTCTAATGTTTTAAAGACATTTCTAGACAAAATTCAGATCTGTCTTTGAGTGAGCGTATGAAATGGACAATTTACTATCGATAGGGCCAACAAAAAGTTTTTTGATATTTTGTGGGTTAGTTTTTTGATATTTTGTGGGTAAGTTTTTTGATATTTTGTGGGTTAGTCGGTTTTATCACCAGGCCGACGATATATATATATATATATATATATATATATATATATATATATATATATACAGTCAAACCTGTGTAAGACGGCCACCCATTGTCAAGGAGAAAAGTGGCCGTATAAGACAGGTGGCTGTCTTAGGCAGGACTGATCAAGATAAAGAAAACAAACCATTCCCATCTGAGGGCCCAATCGAAAGTAGTCCCATTGTTGTTGTCTTTGTTGGTGTTGTTGCTGTTGGTTTGTATTTCGTTTGTAATTTTTATTTTGTCGCTGATTTTGCATAATGGTGACAATAAAACGAAATGTATCAGACAAGGAAGACCGAGTGCCATGTTAAAACAAACACATGGGTCGCCACCACTCGGAGAACGAGGGACGCTTCTGTAACAAGTTCATGTTGACGTCCTTTGTTACTTTGTTACAGACTGGTTAAACAGTAACCACTCATCTCACTTACGATTTGTGTATGAGTTCTGGGCGGGGCTTATGGGTTATGAGGGATCACACGCTTACCTCACCTGCAGCTGAAAATTGGTAGCTATTGGTCAACAGTGGGAGGGGCCTACGCAACATGATCGGTTGGAGGGACTACCTAACAACAACGACAGGTGATTGAATTATGACGGCTCGCCCACAACGCCAGGGGCCAATGCACAATTTATGACAAAACGTAATGGATTCACTAAGGTGACCGTCTTAGACAGGTATTATTGCTTAGTATTATAGGGGTTGTGTGTTAAATTTTTGTGGCCGCGGCCGCGTTGGACAGGTGCCCGTTTTACACAGTTAAATTATAAAGAAAAAATGCAAGGGGGGAAATGGAAAGTGGCCGTTTGTACAGGTGGCCGTCTTATAGAGGTGGCCGTCAGGGCAGGTTCGACTGTATATATATATATATATATATATATATATATATATATATATATATATATATATATATGCCTACATTTTACTATGTTTTACGTACACACATGTCCATTAATTTTTTAAAATGTGAATGTGATATCTTTATTAATGCACATTGAGTATTTTTTAGAAAATGGACATTTATTATTATTAATCTATATCATGTAATGTTTCCATGGAACATGACCGTAATCAATTAAGATTAGATGGAAGCTACTGTAACAGAAAATGGTTTTATGAACATTTGTTATTTGAGGCAATGGAGTTGAAATAACTATGCTGTACATGTGAAATGTAAGTTCATGTTCTGGTGAAGAATGAAGAGGAAAATAGAAATGAGTGCCATGCCTGTGTATTTTTGTTGTTGCCTACTTAATGAGTTTGGCCAAAGAATAAATGTGAATGAACTTCTTTAAATTTATGGTTTTGTTGAATTTGATTCAGTGTTTTAAACAAGAGGGATTAAATCTGTCTAAAAAAGTTTTAGAACTTGATATGATGATGCTCTCAATACTTTTCTTCACAATACCTTCTTCATATGGCATGTTTCAATTTTACAGTGACGAAGATAAACAACTAAGCCGACTGATGCAGAGAAATGGTTTGTCTGAAGAGGATGCTCAAGCAAGAATGAAGTCACAGTTACCATTGTCAGAGAAATGTCTTCTTTGCTCATATGTTATTGACAACAATGGGGATTTAGAAGGTACTAAACAACATGTGAAAGAAGTGTTTAAAAAAATGAAGTCTTCGAGGAAACATTTGGTACTTCGGTTTGGAATACTTGCTTTTGCTGTGTGTATGTTTGGAGGACTTTACTTTGCTTTGAGGTGAGGATATTTTTGGATAGATTGACTTGTCCATGAATGCCTGCTCTGTTTATTTATTCAGTTTGAGAATGTATATTGATCGGACTTGTGTGAATGGGTCTGGATTAAGCAAGTAGACAGGGGGTCTAGAAAAATGGATAGCGTTTTCTTCGGTTTTTCACTCTCTTTGGACAGAGAATTCAGAAGCCTCATAACAACTATGCAACTATGACAACAGATAGGAAATTTAGTATTATTTATGTAAATTAGGCATAGAATATGAGATTGACTATAAAAAAAGAAAGTCATCATTGCCTTTCTGACCCAGGACTAGGGTGTAAATCACTGGCAAATGCTTTCCACTTTTCCTAAATTTTGACTACTTTCTTGACATTATTCCTTGTCTTTCTACTTTTCTGTACATCATTCTCTTCGATTCTTCTTCAGGCTATTCAGAAGCCTCATAACAACTATGCAACTATGACAACAGATAGGAAATTTAGTATTATTTGTGTAAATTAGGCATAGAATATGAGATTGACTATAAAAAAAGAAAGTCATCATTGTCTTTCTGATCCAGGACTACGGTGTAGGTTACTGGCAAATGCTTTCCACTTTTCCTAAACTTTGACTACTTTCTTGACATTATTCCTTGTCTTTCTACTTTTCTGTACATCATTCTCTTCGATTCTTCTTCAGGCTCCACATTTCGACATTGTCTCCCCTTTGATCTCTTACCCTATGGATTCCAATCCAACACTGCCTTTGATATGTAGTTGCCTGGCTTCCTGGGAGGTAGCCTATGTCCAATCTATAATGACTACCTTGTTACCACTTTGTTTCTGACTGGGCTATCTTGTTCTCCTTAGTACTTCCTCGTGGGTGACTCTGCTTGTCCTTCTGATCCTTAACAACTTTCTCAGAATCTTCTTAAGAAAACCTGGATCCCCTTTATGCAAGTCTAAGATGCATTCCCTTTCTCACGTCCATACAACAAAACAAAAGAAAGTGGAACAATGAGAAATATTTTCCAAGGTTTGCAAAAAAAAAAGTGCCTCTTTATCATACAGGAAAATTAGGAAATTACAAAGACATGTTTCTCATAATGCTACTCAACGTATCGTCAGCATCATTCCAGTCACATAAATCAATTTCTGGGGGTTTCTAGATTCAGCTTTTATTCAAATATTAGTGTAGAAATTAAGGGACATCTTACTCTTACTACATGTCACAAAGTAGCTGTTCAAACGTTGTTTGAATCACTAGTTTGTAACCTTAGGGTAGACAGATATATGCGCACAAGTCTTACCAAATCTTACAAGCACCAACTAAACAAATAGAATGTACAGTTTTAATTAAAAACGAAGAACTTTTTTGGACCTCGTGAGGTGGGGGCTCTAACTAATAGAAAAAGAATGGTTGTGCTAGGAAGAATAGGACTGAGTAAAGGCGTTAATTTTCAGCAATTACATAGCTGGACAAGAAATAAATGCGGACACACTCGATTACAGATTATAGTATGCGTATATCCAAGATGGCGATCGCCTGTGGCGAGAAGCAATAACAAGAACAATGTTTCTAATACTACCAATATTAAATCAAGCTGCGATAGTACCTGTAACACGTTGTAGGCCTAGTAACTGACTGGTAGGGTACCCTTACCTTAAACTAATAAAGACTGACACTGTTTTCATTAAACCAAAGGAAAACTAACAAGCACTCTGCAATGTTTCTCGGCTGTGACACACACACACACACAGTAGATTCCAACAGTAGCATGGCGTAATTGATCTTCTTTTATGATAGAACTTGCACAGGTCAGGATTCATTGTATTATTAATTACTCTGAAGGTCACTGGCTTTACAGTTCTAATTGTCTTGTTCATTAATTTTGATATCACTGGGTTTAAAGTTCAAATTGCATGGTTTATTAATCTTTATGTCAGTGGGTTTAAAGTTCAAATTGTATTGTTCATCAACCTTGATATCATGGGTCAGTGGACTTCACAGGAGGACTGGAACCGAAAAAGCTCGAAATGTCTCCCCCGTGGGCAGAGAGCATGGTATTATAATCGACTTGAGACACAGGAACTCTAACAAACAATAAAACTTTGAGGATCCACTGCACAGGTGCTTCAATAAGCTCAGAATAATTCCCAAATACTTGATACTGGTGCGGAGATGCGCACAATAAAAACGGACAAGCAAACGAAAGTGGTGCCGTGCAGGCACAGACTAGTGCAAGACACTGCTCAGCTTATACCACGGGTCCTAAACTTCTTCTCTTTTCTTTTCTTTTCTTTTTCATCCTCTTTTGCCGTTAAGCGTCGAGGGGAGATGCAGTTTTCTATGGTAGGACAGCTCCGCAGCTCTTTCAGTTGTGATGTTATGTTTTCTTAGGGTTTCCTTGACACCCTCGATCCACTTTTTGCGTGGCCTTCCTCTTCCTTTATAGCCTGAGTTCTTAGCTGGTTGGTCAGGTGACATGCGTAACAGGTGGCCAAACCATTTTATCCTCTGTCTTTCTATGTAACGCAGGCAGGACTCGGTGCCGATAGCTGCTCTTACTTCTTCATTTCTCTGCCTGTCTCGTCTTGTGATGTGAAGGGTTTTGCGGAGACATTTCATTTCTCTTGCGGTGATTTTGCTTTCATGGGTTTTGCTTAAAGTCCAGGTCTGGCACTGATAACATAATGTTGATATGAATATTGAGTGATAAGCTGTCTCTTTGTGTCCATGGAGATGTTTGGATGAGATAGGAGGGGTGCGAGCTGGTAGGTGACAGCGTTGGCTTTTTGAGTATGCATTTCTATTTCTCTGTCTATGGACCCGTTTTCAGAAAAAGTGCTGCCAAGATATCTAAACTCCTTTACTTGTTTCAGTTGTTTAATATTGACATGGATGTTCAGGGAGCTATGGTTTTGGCTCACTTTCATAACTTCTGTTTTTAATGGGTTTATTTTCATGCTGAGTTTCTCACAGCTGTTGTTGAGTTTGGTAGTGTGATTTTGGAGGCTTTGTTGGTCGTGATGAATAAGACATTGGTCGTCTGCGAACAGAAATTCATTAAGGCTCTCTGGGCTATGGTTTGCGTCTTGCGTTATTGATATTGTGTCCATATATATTATAAACAGGAGGGGAGATAGAACACATCCCTGTCGTACTCCAGATCTTACTTTGAACCAGTCTGTATTGCCTTCCTTCTTTCTTACTGAGCTTCTGCTGTTGGTATATAGAGCTTTGACATTATTTATCATTTGTCCTCTGACGCTATACTTTTCGAGTGTCTTCCAGGGTTTTACATGGTTTACTCTGTCAAAAGCCTTCTCCTGGTCTATAAAGACGATGTTGGATTCTTTGTTGTGTTCGATTGTTTTCTCGCACATCTGTCGTAATGTGAATACAGCATCTGTGCATCCTCTTCCCTTTCAGAATCCAAACTGAGCTTTGCTCAGATTTTTCTCTTCAATATGCGCTGCTCCATAATGGTACCACTGTGGCTTTCTGCTAGTCTTCTGGGCATTTTCTTTGCTCCCAGGCTCTGTTGAAAATTTGCTTCAGCCACAGTGTACCCGTGTTACCACAAGCTCTTAGGGCTTCCCATGTGATGTCATCTGGTCGTAGGGCTTTGTTCTTGGGGCTGGTTTTAAGTGCCTTTATTATTTCACCGGGAAGTATGGGTGGTTCTGTTTGCTCTCCATATGATGGTTGGAACTCTTCTTGTTGTCCGTGGCAATCGTCTGGGTTGAGTAGTTCTTGGAAGTAATTTTCCCTTCTTTTCTTAATGGCATGTTTGCCGAGAATGGCATTTCCCTCTTTCGTTTATAATGCATGGCGGGTTGAATGGGTCTTTCCTTACCCGCATGCACTTCACACTTTTATAAAATTCTCTTGGGTTTTCCTTGCAGATTTTGGTCAGTTTCTTGCCACGCATTTTCTTTAGCGGTTTTGATGATTCTTTTGGTCTCTCTTCTCGCTTTCCTGTATTCTATATAGTCCTCTTCGGTCTTTGACTTCTGCCACTTCTTGAATAGTCCTAAACCAAGGATGGGAATAAAAAGAACACGACTGATCTTCGTGTAGGTCAAACCAAGACTGGCAAGATTTTAAGGCTCATAGTCTCTTCAAGACAAAGATTCCCTCTATGCTGGGAGTCTCCACCTCCCATGTTGGTGAAGGGACAAAAGCTCCATGGTACAAGACGATCCCCTAGTAGGAAGATACAATCACCAGTGGCCATGCCTTACTGTCCGTTCCTTCTCCCAAAAGCATTAATCACGTCAGAGCTACAAAGTCGTGTGTACCATTTTGCTACACTATATAGTTTAATTGTTTAATTATTTCGTTTCTAGTTTTTTAATTGAAAAATAGCAAGTGTCCCAGTAATTTTTCTGAATTGGGCGATCTCTTTGTCTTTGATTTTCTCAAAATTTCAAAAAATTACTTAGGCGGTGGTGGAATGACACTACCAATATAATACATGTTCTTCATAATCTAACTTATATAACAAATTCTCAAACAGTTTTTGAGCTAGGGTTATCATGATTTCCTCAAGTCATACATTTGATGAAAAGCAATCGAAAAGCTGTGTCACTGTTTGCCTCCCTGAGTTCCCTACACTTGTATCATGCAACGGCTTGACCACTGAAACTCCCATAGCTGTACTCATAATTGATGGAAAAATGTAGTCATTGAAGTTTCCAAGTCATGGAATGCTATTTGCTTGATACAGGAAATAACGTCTTGTTGTGTCGCTTTACTCCCAATTATAACACAAGTGGAGAGATATTTATGCACTTTTATTTTGCTACTTGAGTAAGCTCACATTTATGCTTTTTTCTCTAGAGTCATATTTTCTTTCATTTGACGATTTGATAAATATGTTGCTTTTTTGAAGGAATACTGTCAGACTTGGCTTAATGTGTTCTTTGCACCTGACACCATCAAATGTACCTTGTAAGTGGACTAAGATTCGTCATGAAGCTAAGTGTTTCACCTTTTGTGGGTGACAATGCAAGTTAAAATTTATGTGTGTCACAGAAAAATCAAACTATAATTTAATGGAAAAGAAGGAGTATTTCTCCTTAGAATTTGTTTGGTCTCTGTGTGACAAATGAAAGCCTACGGTATGAATACTATTAGAAGAAGATTTATTTCAGTTTGAAGATTTTGCTGTTTTTTAATATATTTAATGTTTGTCTTTCATTTGAAAAGGGCTCCTCTTGGGGGCTGTTACCTCTACTATCATGTGACATTCTAGTCTCCAGCCAAGCTTGAATTCCGGTTCCAGGTTTTGACAATAACCCTTTTTGGTGCTTAAGCCAAAGACCATTTATTGTAAATGTAAGGATTTCCTTCATTGTTCATGATCATTTTGTAAGTTTATATATGCAACGGGCAAGTCAGAATTTTATTGTACTGTGTGATTAAAAAAGAATGTCCAAACCCATCTCGCGATGTTTCAGAAATGAAAAACAATAGAAAACCCTAGCTTGGACACATGTGAGGTACATAGCTTCAAGTTTTTATTTCATGTTTTACAAGTGCTCAGTGTGGCCACCACCGCCAGCATGGACAGCAACAAGCCGATACAAGATTTCCTACCAAATGCGCCTCAGAATGTCTCAGGCCACCCTGTTGATTGTAGCTGTTATTCGATCTTTCATGCCATCGATATTTGGTGGAAGTGGTGGACTATAAACTTTGTCTTTAACATACCCCCACAAAAAAGTCACACACAGTGAGGAGCAAGGATCTGGCAGGCGAGCCGCAGAGAGCAAGGTCTTTAGCACCTCTCCTACCACCAATCCACCGCTGAGGCACGTTTTCATTCAGATACGGTCAAACCCAGAGATGCCAATAGAGCTGTGCTACATCTTGTTGAAAAATGAAGTCATTTGACTCTGCGTACTGTAAAATGAATAGCCACTTCTTGTAGAGGTATGTTAAAGAAAAAGTTTATGGTCCACCACTTCCAGTCAGCAAATATCAATGACATGAAAGATCGAATAACAGCTACAATCAACATGATGGCCTGAGACATCCTGAGGCTTGTTTGGGAGGAATTCTCGTATC